CTTTAAGGAGAAGTTACTTGAAAATATTGGGATATTCAAGATCAATATTCCTAATGAACATGAAGTGCAAGGCCTAATTCAAGTTTTCTTCATCCAACTTTGTTTCAAATTCTATGTTAAAGTGGAATCCAAATTTGCTAGACATAATTCAAGATCATAAGTTCATAATTCAAGACTTCATTCACTTTCAATGGCATAAGGGAGACCCATCACTTCAAATTCAAGATTCATGAATTCAAGATTATATTCAAGAATACTACAAAGATAAATTTCATGACATTGCAATAATGTCACATTTGTTACAAAGTTTCTAACCCTAAGTAATGCTTAGAAAATTAAGCCATTTCTAATCTTAATTCAAGTTTCTAATTAATTTTATGCTATGGTACCCTTCATGCCCCATCAAGTCCACATGTTCCTCATTATGCTTACAAACATCCAAGAAAAATATTCAAGAGTTAACTCAACATTGGAATATTTCAAGATCAAGAATATGCATGCATAATCATGGGCAATGTTAATGTGATCCAAAACAGTCCCATGCAAGAAGTGACAAATTGCCTCATATCACAAAACCATTTCATGTCAGAAAACCAAGGGAATGAACTCATGGTGATACATCTACACATCAAATATCAGAATTTCAAAAAAATGTTGTCAAAGGTAGTAACATTGACCACAAGGACAACCCAAGCCCAAGCCAATAAATGAGTACAAGGTTTGAGGGCAAAAATTGCAGCAGAAAAAAATAGCCTAGGCAAGTGTAGCAGCAAAATACAGTAAGGCATCATACATGAAAGTGGAAAGAAAGAGAGTGGCATGAAGAAAGTGGTAAGAGACATTTCTCCATGAAAAAATATGATGTTTTAAAAGAAGGAAAAACCCTAATGGGCCGAGTTTAAAAGAAGAGGGAGCAACTGCAAACAAAAGGAGGAGACACATGTGGAGAGAAGATAGAGACCAAAACATAGAGAGAAAAAACCAGAAAAAACATAGAGAAAAAAACCAGAAAAAGAAGAGAGAAAAACAAAAAAAAATCAAGAGAGTCACATAGAAACATTAAGAGAAATCATTGAAAAACAAAACCTTCAAAGCATAGAGTGGAGAGTGAAGAGAACACCCAACCAGGATCAGCGGAGGTTTTGCAAGAAAGATAATAATTCTTGGGTATCCATTTCTTCAAACTCTTCTCTCTTTATATTTTGCATTTGTCTTTTATTTTCTCTTTTAAGTGTTTTTGCGCTGTATACATTGTGTAAGGTCCCAAGAGGGATCAAAAACTTTTGTAAGAACCACAAGGAAGAAAAGAACAAAAAACATAGTTTAGATTTTTCACCTAGCAGGGCTGACACGGGCTGCTCTGTCATCCCACTGTTTAAATTTCCTTCGCGCGCATCTCCCATGGGTGCTGACACGGGCCGTGTTAGCTAACACGGATTGTCGTGTTAGCTCCCTGTTTACCTCCAAAAATTCATGTTGTGAGTGCTTTCCGACACGGGTCGTGTCAGCTGACACGGCCAACCGTGTCAGGCCCCTATTTTTCACTTCTTTTTTGTTGCTATTTCTCCCTTTTTTTGACATATCCCATTCACACATGAAATGGGACATCTCATTTTATGCTGTTTTGTATTTTTTCATGTCTTGATTTTTTATTCGTATTTTCAAGCCGATTAACCCGATGTGATTGTATGGCCATTGTATGTGGATATTATTATGGTCCTTTATGACTTTTGATTCCAAAAACTGTTTTAAAAAACAAACTCTCAATTTTATCGAGCCATTTTCACCCTTGTAAATTGATCGCCTTGTGCGTCGCCATCGACCTTGTTCGCATCACTTCAAATATTTTTACAAGCAATAAAACCCTTGATCCAACACCAAGTGGTATTTTTCTCATAAAAAATCCAAAATACAATAAAGATACAATTAGGGTTATACGCCATGCGTTTTAAAGTGGCGGGGAAGGAATGAGAATGAAGCCCCTCCTACACTCGTTCCGAATATTTTGAATACAAGACGCTCGACTTGGTTATTCAAAACATTCGTCTTTATCCAAAGTCTTTAGTGTTATCATAATCAAAAAACAATTTCTTCTCAAAAACCTAAAAAATAACATCAACTCATCAAACTTCTTTTCGCCTTAGGGAATCAATCCGAAAACCCTTTTTCGAGGTATAAAATCAACCAACATACAATCATTTCTCAAGCCTCTGAATTACCGAGCTCTGATTCTTCACTTCTTTTAAGTGAGGATACGTAGGCACAAGGGCCACAATCCTTGGCGAGCACTCTAATAAAAAACCAACCCCTCTTTTCTTTTAAGCAAGCAAATTTTTAGATTAAAACACCCATTCAAGCTAAATAACCTAGAAGGTTCCCATCGAGTACGATGAATGTGAGGGGGTGCTAATACCTTCCCCTCGCATAACCGACTCCCGAACCCTAAGACTTGGTTGCGATGACCATGTTCTTTCCCTAAAGGTTTTATCGTTATTTCCCTTTCCCTCCTTGGGATAAATAAAATTCGGTGGCGACTCTGTGTCATTTTTCGTGTAGCGACAAGTACTACAGATGCTTAGTGTGCTAATACATTCCCTTAGTATAACCAACTCCCGTACTTTTGATCTCTCTTTGCTTAGATTTAAACCTTGCTTTTTGCTTTTCATTTTATTTATGGGTTATTCTTTCTTTTCCCCTTCCCTCGGATAAATTAAAGATCGGTGGTGATATTTTATGATTTGTGATTCAAGTTTATACAATAGCTTGATATCTGATTCTCACCATGACAGAATGAATCCAATTGCTTTATCAAAACAGGGTTCTCACCGAGTGTGATCTAAGGTTTAAAAGCGACCCCATAGTCATAAATTCATATGAATGTTTTTCGCCCACGACAACTATATGTCGGTCGTCCACTCCATTAAATGACTATATTATGGATGAGATCTTCGTACCGACCCTTCGAGATCTACCTCTCGGGGGGGGGGGGGCACTACTCGACCGTCAATTTTGGTATTAAACAAGGTTACTAGAGTCATGAATTCAAATGAATGTTTGTTACCCATGGCAACTACATGCCGGGCATCAACTCCATCGAGAGAATCTACTCTGAGTGAGACCTTTGTACTGACCATGCGATACCTTCCACATCAGTGACACATGTGCACCAATTGTACACTTAAATTAACTTTTACTAATGAGGTAAATAGAAAGTACCAACGTGACACTATTTGAACAATTAAAGGATTAACTTGACCTATTTTAAAATTAAGGGACCAAAATAGACCCCGAGTTAAAGTTAAAGGACCAAAAGGGTATTTTGCCTTCTTTTTTTCAAATCTCTGATGTCTTTGAAATTGAGATGACCAAGTTTATAGTTCCATATCCATTCATCCCTACTAGCTGCAGTTGCAAAGCACTTGTACTTCATCTCATTAAGTTCAATCTTTAGGTTTTATTCAGAGACATGGGAGCCTTCAAGATTAACCTTCCACCCAAGTCGAAAACTCTCATCATCTTATCTTCAATCGACACTTTATAATTCTTTTTGACCAATTGGCATATGTTGAGAAAATAAATTTCCATGCCTGCTAAATTCAATACATTGAGAAATACTAATCTTCAACCATCTTTCCTCATGCTTAGAGCATTACTAATACTCTCAGGTGGTAGGGTATTGTCATTTGTAAATTTCCCCATGTTCTTCATCGAAGGTTTTATGTTAATAAACCAATCTTTCCTACCAGATGTTAGAATTACACCTAAAACTTGGAGAGTTATAAAGTAATCTTGACGAAGAAGAATCAATTATTCTGATTGATTTTGCCTCTTGTTCTTCACTCTTCACTCGAGTGAATCAATCACACCTTGGTTGCGAGATGATTCCGCTGCACAACGATTATTAAAGAAGAAAAGAAAAGATGAATTGGGAAAGAAAAGAGAAATTAGGGTTTGAGAGAAAAGGGGGTTGAAGGAGAATATTTTTATAAAGTCTTTCTCCGCCTTCAAATTGAAGTTTATTCAATATTTTCTCCATGCAACTACACATTACAATGATATAGTATCTCTTTATTTATAGATTGAGATTGTTTGCACCGCAAACAATCTCCAACTAACCTAACTATCTAAAACATAAAATAAAGTTAAATTTAAATTTCGGTCGAAATACACTTTTTAAACATTCCAACATGTATACAATTTATTTTGACAATAAAAAATGGTGATTTGACAAAAGAAAAAAAAATTCTCATTACTATTTACAAAAGATTTGAAAAGATCATTTAATTGAAAATCATAATTGTTTCAAAAGAAACTTCAGCTAGTCAATATTGACATGGTCCACGCACAGGACGAGAGTACAAAGTGTGTTTAAGGAGTACCGTAATTACTGGGTCTTCCGAAGTCATTGTCTGACAGCTATCGAGGAAGAAACTAGAATAGGTTGAAAATTTCCATCTATGTTGTTTTTATTTGACTCATTTGTCATCTAAGTCAAATATTATAACAATGTCTATGTGATGTGATGAAGGTTAGTTTAGAATTTTTATTTTATAAATCAATATAATACAATCTATCTAATTAAATTCAGTTTAGTTTAAGTGGTTTTACCCAAATTTTTAGATGCGTATTTATATTATGTCAAATAATTTATTGTTATTTAAAATTTCTAAAAATAAAAATTAATATTAACAAAAAAAAAATAGATAAGATCAAAAATTTTCATATGCAAATAAGTTTATTCAAAAAAAAAAAATTGATTTGGAATCTGGTTTGAGGGAGTTTTACAATATATGTCTAAAACATTGCATGTGGATTCCAAATTTTAGATTTTGTTTTAAATCAGATTGATTATAAGATTATAGATTTTCATTAGGATTGGTGCACATTAAGATTGAAATCTGCGTGTTTGACAAAAATTAGCTTTTCTTTAAAATGTAATATAAACTAACCCATAACAATATTTCTGTAGTAACTCCAAATTTCTATCCAAAAACTTGAACATGGCTTTTATTTCCTTCCATTCTCCTCTCTTTCTCCTAATAATCATTTCATTATCATCACAATTAGCCAATAGCGCAAACAACACCCAAAACTTCATTTTTATGAAGGACATAAAATGTAATATTATAAACTAACCAACAAGAAACATCTTTTAGAAGATCAATTTCCTTTTCCTTTGACAAACACGCTTATGCAAGTCTTCAACCAATCTCTTCATGGTAGCGATATTTCTATAGTAATTTCTATCCAAAAACAACATGGCTTTTATTTCCTTTCATTATCCTCTCTTTCTACTAATAATCATTTCCTTATCATCACAATTAGCCAATAGCGAAAACACCGCCCAAAACTTCCACTACTTTTGTGATCAAGATAACGACAGAGGCAACTATACAGACAACAGCATCTACCACACAAACCTCAAAACCCTTCTATCAACTCTCACTTCCAACACACAAATCAACTACGGTTTCTACAATTTCTCAAACGGTGAAAACACAAACAAAGTATACGCTGTTGGTCTCTGCAGAGGCGATGTTAAGCAAGCCGAGTGTCTTAACTGCCTCAAAGCTTCAACCAACAATCTCACACAGCTTTGTCCAAACAGAAAAGAAGCAATTGGTTGGTACCAAGATGAAAAATGCATGTTGCGTTATTCGGATCGAAACATATTCAGGCTTATGGAAATAGGACCTGCATATTATGCGAAAAACCCAAATGACGCAACTGATTTGATTGTGTTCAATGAAACTGTCCGCAACCTGCTTGATGATTTGACTAAGAAAGCTGCGTTGGGTGATTCTAGTTTGAAATATGCAGCTGAGAGTGTGCGCGGTCCTAATTATCAAACTATATATGGTCTTGTTCAGTGTACGCCTGATTTATCTGGATCAGATTGCAGTTCATGTTTGGTTCAGTCTGTTGCACGTATACCGATTGATTGTTGTAAAGATAAGATTGGTGGAAGAGTTGTTAGGCCTAGCTGTAACATGAGATTTGAAACCAATTTTCTCTTCTATGATCCTACAACAACATCACCACCTCCTCCTTTCACCACTTCCTCACCTCCTCCTCCACCAGGTACTTGTTATTATGTTCATCAAGTTATATTAAATTTTCTATTAATTTCTTCTTTGATATTGAGATACTAGACTGATAGATTTTTATGGAATTGATACTAGACTGATAGATTTTTTCTTTAATTTTTTCTCTCATGTTCTTTTTCATGTGCAATTATCAACTATTGAATTAATATAGAAAAACAGATAACAAGAAAAAATTATTATTTAAAGAAGAGAAAGAAAAAGACCACAACATTCTCATATAATTTGTTGCTATGTTTTTTTTATTTTTATTTTAATATTTTTTATTAAATAAATATATTTGTTTGGCAATAATTAAAATATTTTTATTTGGCATTAATTAAAATATTTTTATTTGGCGATATTAAAATATTTTATACATATTTATTCAATTAATAAAATTATTTTTTATATTGAATAAAAATGATAATTATTTATTTTAAAAATCATAGGATAAATATATGTAAGTAAAAAATAATTAAATTTAATATTTTATAATATTATCAATATAAAAAAATAATTATTATAAATCAATTATAATTTACCACACTTTATTGCTTAAACATTTTTTCTGAAAATGTGTGGCTAAAATAGTTAATTTGTATATGGAAAGACTATTTTTTCAACAATCAAGAGAATGATTTTACTAATACGCATTCTTAGCAAAAGTGCAAGTGATGCTATAGAATGTTGTCCAATAACAATGACATATGTTGGAATTACTTCGGAAGATCACAATTGTCTAGGACTGTTTTGCTGCTTTTGTATGAAAAAATGATCGGTCACAAATGCAATTAAATAGTTAATTTAAAATTTTCTATTTTTTAAATAAAAATAAGAATAATTATAATATTATAAAAATTAAAAAAAAATTAATGTTTTCAGTTTTGAATGTGTAATCATTTTTGTCTCTTGGATTAATAAATAAAAATAAAATAAAATTAAAATTAATACATATTTCTTTCTCTTTTTTAAATTGCATTTGTTTTTGTTGTCTTTTAATGATTAGATTAATTCAATGGTTCATAATTGCACATGAGAGAAGGCATGAGAGAAAAAATTGGAGTGGATCCAATTCTGATTTTTATATGGTGATTGTAAGTTAGCGATAGCTCATAACTTATGGTCGGTAGTTTGATAAGTTAATTGATATCAGTGTTTTAAAATTTTGACCGAATTGAAAATCAGAAGGATCATCGGTCTGATTTAATTGTTAACTTGGATATGCTATTGAAACAATGAAAATCGGTAAACATCGATGAACCGTTGATTTTGAAAAACTAGCAGATTAATTGCATATTTTTTTTCTAGAACAAAATGATATCATTTTGATAATTTTGTTTATAAATAAATGAATAAAAATATAATTAACCTTTATTCAAAATTTATTTGCAACATTTTTCTCTTGTTTTCAATTAGACTTTGATCATAATTTATTTGAGTTTGTATTTAGTATTATTTTGTTCTGCGTAATGATTATATTTAAAATTTAAATGATTATGTGAAATTTTATAAATGTTCTGAAATATTTTAAAGATCGAGTCATTTGGTCAATTGACTTAATAAATATATAGTTTTGTTATAAAATTTTTTTTATTCAATCAAATTATTCAGTTTAATCAAGTTTAGTCATATAGTCTGACTGATGATTCAGTGATTCGATCAATAAATCAGTGACTCAATAACCTTTTCGGTTTGATGACCGACCTAATTTTTAAAATTATAGCTGATAGCTTAATAAATTATAATTGATAGTTGATGGTCGATAATTTACAATGTATAGTTAATAATAGATAGTTTATTGATAATAAATTAATTAAAATATTTGATAAATTAGACATTCAATTAACTGATAAATATAAATTGACGTAAAAAATATTAGATAATTAATAACAAAATATATATTTATACTTAAATTATAAAGGATAGAAGTGACTTTTAGTTCAATTAATAAAAGTCAAAGTCAAAGAATTTGAAATAGCGGTCGAAAAATAAACTATAAATTAATAGAATAAAATATAAATTTATGATGAAAATATTGTTACCAAATTAATTTTTTATTGCTACACAAATTTATAAGTATAAGCGCAGAAATATAAATATGTTATGCGACATAATTTAACAATTATTTATCATTTTATTTTTTGAAAACGAAAAAAAACTATGTAATATATATAATATTGGGCATATGAAGTGCCATTATAAAAATACATCGAGTTCTACCTTGACACTACAGACTTGAAATACCACAAAATAATACAAAGCTTCACCCAAATCAAAACTAACATAAATAATTTGATAAAGTATCATCCTCTTCTTAATCTTCTATTTTCATAAATAATTTTGTCAATTACTTTTTTCAAACATCAAGTTTTATTTCTCAAATATCAAAACTTATTTAATATACTCAAAGGAAGATGAAAAAAAACATATGACATTTAATGTTATATCTTTATTATCAATCTTAACTCTAACTGTTTTAAATTCTAAGGTAATATTGTTTAGACTATTTAGATTATCAAATATTTTTATATTTTTATTCATACTTATAAGCTATGAAATTGCTCTTTCAATCACAATCGCTTTGAGATACTGTTGGATGCAATACAATGTCTCATGTTTGGTTTGTGCAGGAAAAAGAAAAACTACCACAATCATCGTCATAATAGTATCATTTGTTGCAGTTATGATGCTAGTTTTAATCTTCATCTATTTAAGAGTATGGAAGCGAAGTAAAAGATTTAGAAGTAAGTTGAAGTATTCATTTGTCATTTACTCACAATCCTAATTGTTAATATTGGTCACATATCACATGAAATTTTTTGTAATTTAACTTGTTCTCGTGTGTAGTTCAAGAAGAAGATGAAGATGATGAAATTGACATTTCTAAGTCACTGCAATTCAAGCTAGATACAATAAGAGATGCAACAAATGACTTTTCTGATAATAATAAACTTGGACAAGGGGGATTTGGAACTGTTTACAAAGTAAGATAACACTATTGAATATCAGTTAATGCTTAGACATTTGTCTACAATTTACTATTCCTGACTAATATATGTTTTCAGGGTACACTCCCCAATGGACAAGAAATTGGTGTCAAAAGGTTGTCAAAGGATTCTGGCCAAGGAGATTTAGAATTTAAGAATGAAGTTGCTTTAGTGGCCAAGCTTCAACACCGGAATTTAGTCCGACTACTCGGTTTCTGCATAGAAGAAAGAGAAAGACTGCTAGTATATGAATATGTTCCTAATAAGAGTCTTGATTACTTCATTTTTGGTAGGCTCGTCTCTATTTCTTTAGTTGTGATTATAGACCAAACTTAAATACATGGTTATGAGATTCATATCTCTTTTTTTATGTTTCTATATAGATGAAACCAATAGAGCACATTTAAATTGGGAAAGGAGGTATAAAATCATTGCAGGTATTGCTCGAGGAATTCTTTACCTTCATGAGGATTCTCGTCTACGCATTATCCATCGTGATCTCAAAGCAAGCAATATTCTCTTAGACGAAGAAATGAATGCAAAGATAACAGATTTTGGTATGGCTAGACTGTTTGCAGTGGACCAAACTCAAGGGAATACAAATAGAATTGTGGGAACCTAGTAAGTATATATTTAAAAGATGTATTGATTGTTTTAATATCATTAACCGAAGATGCAAGACTGAAATATTTATGTTTAATTGAGAATAATTCTCCGTATTGTTTGTAGTGGATATATGGCTCCTGAATATGTAATGCATGGACAGTTTTCAGTAAAGTCAGATGTATTCAGCTTTGGTGTATTGATTCTTGAGATTATAAGTGGCCACAAAAATAGTGGCGTTCCTCGTGGGGATACCAATGAGTATCTTCTAAGCTTTGTAAGCAATCTTTTCATTTTTTCCCTTGATATGTATCTTTCTTGTCGAGCTAAGTATGGAATTACATGATTATGTGTTACATTACATTACTCTAGAAGTGAATTCTAACTTACAGTGGTATATTTCTCTTTTTGGAAAATTCTTATAGGTATGGAGAAACTGGCGAGACGGGTCACCGACAAATATTATAGATCCTACAATAATCAATGATTCAATAAATGAAGTATTACGATGCATTCATATTGGGTTACTTTGTGTTCAAGAAAATGCAACTAACAGACCAACTATGACTTCTGTTGTATTAATGCTTAATAGCCATTCTATCAGTCTATCAAGACCTTCAGAACCTGCATTTTATTTTGATAGTGGAGCTGTAGACTTTCCAGACTTAATGGTGCAATCATCAGTAAATAAGGTTTCGATTACAGAGCCATATCCTCGCTAGATTTTGATTGTATAGAGTATAATCATAATATACTCAACAAAGATATGATATATTATATATAAATTAAGAACACATTTAAGTGGTTGTTTGGATAGCAGTTTAGATGTTGTTTGATCCAAAAGAAAAGTAGGTTTTCTTGTCAATAAGTAGTTTGTGTGTACCTATTAGATAAGTACTTTGTTTGAAGAATGTTCTAAGACTGAGAACATTATACTGTGTCATGTGTATAAATAATGTTTAGCATGCTGTAAAAGTCATAAAGTTCTATACTGGCAAATACAGTATATGAAATGTTGACTTTTTTCATTGGCTGGAATGATTTGGGAATGTTTCTGGTTTGTAATTGTAATGAATTTTCCCCCCTTTTTTGTAATGTACTAGTAGGGCTGGAAATGAGTCGAGTCGAGTCGAACTCACCTCAGCTCGGCTCGACTCGTTAAGAATTGTTCGAATTCGAGTTCGAGTTCGAGTTTGACACGAACTGTTTTTTAAGCTCAAACTCGACTCGTTATAAGTTCACGAACAGTTCGGTTCGACTCGTTAGGTTCATCTCATTAGGTTCAACTCACATGGTTCACGAACTTAAAAACTATTTTTTTAAATATATATATATATTTTTTAGTATATTTGACATTTTAAATAAATATATATATTTTAAATAAAATATTAAAATAAAATAAAAGTTATCATATTGAAATTTAACTTTATCTTCGAAATCTACTAATTCAAAACCTACACAACTTTCAAGAGATACATTTGAGAGTCTAATTCAAAAACTACTAAATTGAAGATTAAATTTGTCTAAGATTTGAAGTAAATATTTAAACCTAATCTTAAAGACAGTATAATTCTTTTCATATGTAATCGAGTTGACTCATGAACCTAACGAGTCGAACTATGTATAGTTCAAGTTCAGCTCATTTAGTTAACGAACTTAATTTTTCGCTCATACTCAACTCATTTGGTTCATGAACCTAGTTCAACGATTTAATTGTCGAGTCGAATTCCGAACTATCTTCGAGTTGGTTTGGTTCATTGCCAGCCCTATGTACTAGTGTAATCATAATTGGTCTTGTGCTTTTTTAGAACCCTATATGATATGTAAGGGAAGGTCATAAAAACAGTCGCCTTAGACTTCAATAAATATAAAAAATTACTATTTTATAAAATTGCTTTAAATTCTATCATTTTAAAATTAAATTAACAATTATTATTTAAAATTAAATTTTTTAATAAAAATTAAACCAATTTTATTTTTTATTAAATTAGAAAGAGAATTTTTTGTACTTTCTTGGTGAGCGTTTAGAAAACTACATGTAATATATAAAAGTATTAAAGCATTACTCTTTGCACCGTATGAATTACTCACACTTTTGACGATATTTCAAAAGTAGCTTTATAATTCAAATTTCAAAATTTGAATGCGCGCGCGCACACACACACACACACACGTATACACACACACACACAACATTCAATCTTAAATACCTTTAGTAGTATCAAATTATAATATACAAAACACAAGAAAATAAAAAATAAATTAAAATGCACTAAAAATTTAAATGCAATCACCAAACTTTGCTTTGCTTAATTGTATTGAGATATTAGATATAATCAAAGTTGTATTATGTGGCCCAACCCGAAAGGTAATTAGGGTTTAGGGTTTGTTATTTAGTTTGTTATTTTAGTGTATATAAATAGACACTTTATAATTCATTTTTATTCAATTCAATAATATCAATCCTTGTTTCTTTATTTTGCCTTTCTTTCTCTCCTCACTAAAAGTGCCTTACGCACTAACAAATTGACATCTAGAGCTCCGGTTAGATTCTTGATCGTGTTTTCAAGAACCACATGTTAGATATCATATTTCTGGAATATTGAGTTATTGTTAATTAATCGCTCCAAAGATGAATGATAACATAAATTTACCAAACTCCCTTCCAAATCTTGATGACAAGAATTGACTCCGATGGGAAAAACAGATGCAATCTCAATTTTCCTTTCATGAAACCCTAGAAGTGGTTACGAATAACGTTCCTGCGCTTGGCGAAGATGCAACCGATGCAAAGAGAATCGCTCAGAAAGAGGCCAAAAAAAAGGATTGCAAGGCAACATTCTACATCCAATCGGCGATTGATACAACTAATTTCGATAGAATTGCTCATGCTGAATCGACGAAGGAGGAATGGAATATTCTTATCAAGTACTATGAAGGAGGCAAGAAATTTAAGGTTATCAAGTTGCAAACTTTGCGATGAAAATATGAATTATTATTAATGGGAGAAGATGAAAAGATTGCAGGCTATGTGTCGAAGGTGCATAAACTCGTCCATCTCATGAAGGGTTGTGGTGAAACCCAAATTGATAAGATGATAGTTGAGAAGGTAATGTGTATGTTGACCTCTCACTTTGATCACATTATTGTTTCCATTCAAGAATCCAACAATCTTGAAACCCTAAAACTGGAAGATTTGGTTGGTTCATTGGAAGCGCGTGAGATTGGGATTCTCGAAAGGAAAAGAGTTCAAGACTCAATACAAGCACTACAGACTCAATCGTGAAAGAAGAATGGTGGTTCCAACAAGTTCAAAGGCAAATACGACAAGACTCGGGGCAAGAATTCTTGGTCGAATCCTCACAAGAATAAAATCGATGATAGAACTTCTGAATCTTCGAAGAGAGGAGAAGGGAATTTCTATCAGAACGACAAAGTAGAGAAAAAAGGTGTGCAATGTTATAACTGTGAAAAATGGGGTCACTTGGCCAAGTATTGTTGGTACAGGAAAGACAAGGGTTCGATAAAAGACAAGGACGAAGGAGCAAACCTTACACGTCGAGATTCAGATGATTATGATGATCTGATGGTTATGGCTGCAGTTACTGATGGCCATGTCGAATCCAAGATCTGGTTCCTCGACTTAGGCTGCTCGAATCACATGATTGGTCAAAAAATATGTTAGTAGATTTTGATGAGTCGAAGAAGAGCAAGGTCAAACTTGTTGATAATAGCTTGTTGCAAGCAAAATGTACTAGAAAATAGTTATTCAAAGGAGTAATGGAGCAAAAGCCATTATCAAAGATGTATTATATCTCCCTGGAATGGAGTGCAATCTGCTTAGTGTTGGACAACTGGTCGAAAAGAGGTTCTCAATGGTTATGAAAGATGGAGCCTTAGAACTTTTCGACACCCAGAGTAACTTGGTCTTGAAACCTCCTCTGTCAAAGAATATAACATTTAAGACCATGATCAGTTCGACCGAGGTACAATGTCTGGAAATAGTTGTCAACCACAAGAATAGTTGGTTGTGGTATCTGAGGTTTGGCCATATGAACTTTAGGTCGCTAAATCAACTGATCACTCAAGATATGGTAAGTGGTATACCAAATCTTGAGATGTCCGAAAAACTCTATGAAGGTTGCCTAGTCGGAAAGCAGTTCAGGAAGTCATTCATTTCAACTATGCCAATGAGATCATCCTGCATACTCGAAATTGTACATTCCGATGTATGTGGTCCCTTTGAAAAGCATACTATTGGTAGAAACGTGTATTTCGTCTCATTTTTCAATGAGTACAGTCGAAATCTCTAGATCTATGTGATTAAACAAAAGGACAAAGTATTTGAAATATTTAAGAGATTTAATATACTTGTCGAAAACTAGGGTGAAAATAAAATTAAAATTCTGCGAACAGATTGAGTTGGCAAATACACATCCAAAATATTTGAAGTATTCTTTGCCGAAATGGTATTGATCATGAGATAACTGCTCCTTATACTCCTCAACATAATAGAATAGCAGAAAGAAGAAACATGGCCATATTGGACATGGCGAGATGCATGCTGAAGCAGAAGAATTTGCCAAAATCGTTATGGGGTGAAGCTGTTTCAACAGTTTTTTATATTCTGAACAAGTGCCCTACCAAGAAGCTGAAGAACAAGGTTCCTGAAGAAGTGTGGAGTGGAAAACAACCATTAGTGAGTCATCTGAAGGTGTTTGACTCTATTTGATACAAGCATATTCCCGATGCTAGGAGAAGGAAGCTTGATGATGAAAGTGAACCTATGATTCTGGTAGGATATCATAAGACTGGAGTATACAGGTTGCTTAATCTAATTAATCAAAAGATTGTGATGAGTCGAGACATTGTGATTGATGAAAAATATGCTTGGGATTGGAAGGCATAAGGCGAGATTGGTAGCTCGAGGATTTATCCAGAGAGCAAGACTCAACTACTTTGAAGTATTTGCACCTGTCGCAAGATTGGAAACTATTCGACTAGTGGTGGCCTTGGCATGCAAGCAAGGCTGGTCAGTATTTCACTTAGATGTAAAATTGGAAATTTTGAATGGACCTTTAGAATAAGAGGTGTATGTCACACAATCTTCCGGGTTTATGATTCAAGAGGAAGCAAGTAAAGTATCAAGTTGCACAAAACGCTCTATGGTCTCATGTAGGCACCTGGAGCATGGAACATGAAGATCGACTCATACTTGGTTGAATTGGGATTCTTAAAATGCAAATCTGAGTATGGTATCTGTGTTCAGGTTGTGGCACAAAATATAACAATAATCTGCTTATATGTTGATGAATTGCTAGTAAATGAAAATAACTTGAAGAACTTGTCGAAGTTCAAAGAGCTGGTGAAGAAGGACTTTGAAATGTCGAATCTGGGAAAGTTGCCATGCTTCCTAGGTATGAGATTTCAAATGTCGAAGCAATGCCTGATGCTACATCAAAGAAATTATGTCAAAGAGATACTCAAAATATTTAAAATGGATGATTTGACTCCTGTATCTTCACCTATCAAACCAAATTTAAAGTTGAAGAAGCATGGAGAGGTAGATAAAGTCGATGCAACTTTGTTTGAACAGATTTTTGGATCTTTGAGATATGTGTGCAACAGTCAACCTGATATATATTTCTCAATCAGATTAGTGAGCAAATACATGAGTGAACTAAGGGTGTCAAACATGAAGGCTGCAAGAAGAATCCTGAGA